TCTCTCTGTCTCTCTCTCTCTGTCTCTCTCTCTCTCTCTCTCTCTCTGTCTCTCTCTCTCTCTTGGAGGGGGGGTAACTGTGGTACAGACCCCCCCCACATGTTGACATGTGTCTGTGGCTGAGGACACGCTTCACCCTCCGCCATGACATCAAGTGCCTTCAGACTCAGACGTCAACGTTTCCACGGTCGGGGGGGGGGGGGCAGCTGACGGACACTGACGTGTCTGTGAATATGCAGAAATCACTCTCTCACTTAGTTTGTGGGTAAAGAGAGGATTCTAATGACGACAGGATTCTAATGACGACAGGATTCTAATGACGACAGGAAGCAGGAAGCTGCAGTGACCGGATACTTCAGAATAAAAGGACTTCCTGTTGGACGATCTTCAGCCCGAAGCCTTCCAGCGTCTCAGAACTATTTTAATATTTCAAGTTTTCAGGAGGTGACGCTACTGACACCATCAGTTTCCTTCACCTGCAGAAACACGTGGAGCTTTTAAAAAACAACAGAGGACAATGTAAAGTAAAATCAAATCTTCTATTGTTCGTATGAAATTCTAAAATCTTTCCTTTGTCCATGTTTGAATGAGATGGTTTGTTTATCTTCTGCTTTTTCTTCCAGTAAATGTGGGAAAACAACACAAAGCGACATTTGAAAGAAAAGCTCGGTGACTCGTTCACGTCGTGCTGATTAAACATTTCTGTGAAAAACACAAGTGGATCCTTTGAATCAAAGCACAAACAGACATCACGGTTCATTTCTGTTAACGAGAGAAAACAGGAGGATGAAAATAAACGTGACACTGAGACAGAAACCTCTGAAGCAAAAAGCCATAAATCCACCTGCATGACAGATAAATGAAATTAGAGTTTAAAGACTTTCTTCACATTTGAAGTCATAGAACATAAAGGATTCCAACATTAATGAAGATCATTATTTTCTCTCATTTTAACTTGATACGACTTTAAAAACATCATTTTGATCCGAAAGAAATTTATAATTACTATGATGTAATCTGAATTACAGAGTTTTTGATGAAGTTTTTCTGATTCTAAAGTATTTTTCAGTTTTTTCTGGGCAGAAATGAGCTTCCATACATCCGCTCACACATGTGACTGCCATCTGATCCACGTGTTTTCACGACATGTGAACAAATAATTACTGAAGCTTGAATATTAATAGAATATAAATCGGAGAGGTTTGTGTGTCACATGATTAATAAAGTGATCAGAGGATCCATCAGATAATTATCATTTCTTCTTTTCGTCGTTTAATTGAATTCTTTTTCTCCTGATGGCGACACGTTAACTGTCTCTGCGTGTTTTTCTGCTGCAGCTCGTTAATAATCAGATTTGTATTAAACTCGTCCCGTGACTCAGTGAATGTTATTAGTTCATGATCTCTGTTTGCTGGGTGACTCCAATAAACACCAGTCACTTTATTTCTTTACTTATTATTGCAAATGTTACGAAAACTCAAATTCTGTGCAGTGGTTTGAAAAATAAGATGAAAAAAACATTTACGAATTGTACGGACGACAATTAAAGGTCCAGTGTGTAAGATTCAGTTTAAAGGGATCTATTGGCAGAAACTGAATATGAAATAATCTTAGCAATGTTCTCACCAGTGTGTCATAATCTAAATCGTACAAATTGTTGTTTCTTTACCCTACAGTTGCCCCTTTATATTTAAATACTTTATATTTACTTACTTTATATTTACATACTTCATATTTACAAAGGGAGGGGGTCCTCTCTACGGAGGTCGCCATGTTTTTTACAGTCGTCAAACTGGACAAACTAAAAACCGTTTTCATAAATATTGAAGCGACCGCAAGTTTTTTTATGTTTGCAAGGGGAGGGTGAGGTGAGGGGGGGTTCAGCTGCAACATGCAGTTCACCACTAAATTCTACAAACTGAACCTTTAAAGCCTCCAAGAACAAAACATGATAAGTGAGAAATGTGAGAAAATACAAATCCACCATGCGACAAATTTATAATATAGAATGTGGAAATCTGAGTCAAGTTCATAAGCATGAAAAAGTTCAGTGTTTGCTCGTTATAGCTCATAATTTGGTTTTAATCTCATTTCAAATGTGTAGCTACATTAAGTTTACAGTGGTTTTTCTTCTCCCAACTCAAATGCGTAAGAAAGAGTGCGAAGACATTTTCAGACACAACTGAATTTATTCATCATGACTCTTCTTTCCAAATGTTTGCTTCATCTGCTCAGAGTCACACACTCAGAGTACAACAGTTATTACAACTGATACAAAACTTCATGAATATAACGTCCAAGTACATGAGAAAATTAAATTAAAGTCTGGTCTATAAAAACAATGAAATACAATAAAAGTCCTCAAATTACAATTAATTGAGTTGAATTGATGGTTTGTGCAAAGACCTTTTAAAAAATCATTGAAAAGTGATTGAAGAAAAGAATTTACTTATTGTGTCAGAATTGTTTTCAATCGTTCAACAGCAACATGTCCTTTTTGTTTTGTACCATATTTGAAATATTCCCTCAGTACATATATTCCGACTGCAGTAGAAAAACACGTCCTCGTTGTTTGAAACTCACGTCTCTTGGTTGTTTCTGTTTGGCGGCAATAAAATAAATCAGAGTTTCAAAAAAGCCACAAAGTGAAGAGAGATATTTTTATAACTGTGATTATTCTCTGCAATAGATTCAGAAGGTTACACTGCATTCTGTATTATCATTATTATTATTATTATCATTATTATTGTTAATAAATTCACTCCAAATTTAACTTTTAATAGTGTTCTGTCATGATGTCATGTGTATGGTGTGTGTGTGTGTGAGAGAGAGAGCGACAGAGTGTGTGTGTGTGTGTGTGTGTGTGTGTGTGTGNAGAGTGTGTGTGTGTGTGTGTGTGTGTGTGTGTGTGAGAGAGAGAGAGAGAGAGACAGAGTGTGTGTGTGTGTGTGTGTGTGTGTGTGTGTGTGTGTTTCCAGGGGACGTCTCTCAGCTCTTGACACTGTGGACCATTTGTTCTTGTCCATTAAGCCATGTTGGGATTTGAACGTAAAGTCTCGGAGGGAGTTTTTGGAGCTGGACCCTGGATCAGCTGTGACTCTGCTGCCGGCTGAACGAGGTTCGATTCTCTGACTCCGTCATCCAGCAGCTGATTTCAGTTGCAGCTGCAGCACATCGGTCGGACGCGTCTATTCTCTGGAGCAGAGAAAGTGGGTTTGTTGAGGCTGCAGTTATCTTCAGCCTGTTTCCATTCACTGAAGAAGAACTCAGATAATTACTGAAGAAACTCAAATCATTATATTCTACACAGAAAAGAGCTCGATGCAGAAACATGTCAGGTGAGTTTTGTATATTGATCCTGAATATTCATGATTATTCATGAACAGGTGAGCAGCAGTGAAATAACTTCTCACAGGATGTTGACAGGGCGGAGCGGCCGTTACAAAGTCCACACACCTGAGGTCTCACCTGTGAACAGCTGATCACTTCACTCACACCTCATTCACTTTGAGTGTTTACAGGCAGGATGATGCTGCTGCTGCTGCTGCTGCTGCTGCTGCTGCTCCTTGTTTCCTCTGTCGTCAGGAGGCCCAGATGTAAGAGCGGAGCAAAGTTACTTGGGAAAACTGTGATCATCACAGGTGAGCAGAGAACTGCAGATCTGCCTCCACAGGATTAACTTGAGCAAACATGCACCCACTGGAAACAGCTGTTGTCAAAGTTTTTGAGATTTGTCGATCAGGACCAAACTGGTAGATCTACAAACAAATCCACGACTCTGTCGTTTTCACCAGGAGGAAACACCGGCATCGGTAAGGCCACGGCGATGGACCTGGCCAGGAGGGGAGCCAGAGTGATCCTCGCCTGCCGGGACAGACAGCGAGCTGAGGCGGCCGTCCAGGACATCGTCCAGGTGAGGACAAACAAAAGAGCCAACAGGAATATACCTCCGTTATTTAGAGTGAGGTTCATCTCACTTCACTTCATCACTCAGTCAGAAGACTCACAGGAACATCTGGCGTACCTCACAGCTCCATCCTAGTTCCTCCTCTCTTTACATTTACCAGCATCTTCATTGATTTGTTGTTTCTCCTCATCAGTGAACTTTAGTTTTTTTGCAGAGCAACAATTCAGCTGAGAAACACTCAGTGATGGAGAAACTTGTTTTCTAACCTCGTCATGATCAGGAGACCAGGAGCAACCAGGTGATCTTCATGCAGCTCAACCTGGCCAGTCTGAAATCTGTTCGCTCCTTCGCCGAAGACTTCCTGAGATTTGAGTCCAGGTTGGATCTTCTCATCAACAACGCAGGTCAGGCTGTGTGTGTGTGTGTGTGTGTGTGTGTG